GTCGCGCTGTGATGACGTCACGTACGCGCTTTCGTCGAGCGCGCTTTCGTCTACCGCGGTTTTGTGGTGGAACCCTCCTCTCTGTCTAGAATGTGGACTTTGCAGTGTTCCAAAGATTGACCCTTGTCTTGTCTTTCAAATGCAGATGGACTGCTGAATCTTGTCCTTGTGGGTTTGTTCTCTTATGTTGTGCCATGCATTTGTGAAGTGGTAGTTTTGTTTCTCCGCTGCTCAGGTCTGCACCAGTCTCACTGCGCCGTCCTGCATGCACGCACACTTTTAAACCCAAGAATACACACAAGGCGGAAGCTTGTGCATCTAACAAAACATCCCAGACACAGCCTGAGCAACGTGATATACGCGGTGCGATGTAGTGAGACTTTCAATCTGAACGAAAGGAGCTTTCTTGGATGAGAAGCGAAACGTCTTCAAGGAAAAGCCATCCATTTGTCTGAAACGGTATAGGGTTTCCTGCCTAGGCAGGGGGTTGGGCTAGAAGACCTCCAAGGTCCCTTCCAACTCTGCTATTGTATTGTATAAGATTTCCAATGCTGTCAGTTTTGTGCAAGGAAATCAATGGGGAAGCTGGCAGGACGTTGGAAATCACTCATGATGTATTTTAGGCTGCTCTTACTCATTCTGTTTCTCTGTTTAGGTAAGGAAATATCTCTGAAACAATGACACAACAGATCATTGGTTGTCTACTTTCTATTAAATATGTATCTATCTCTTAGAAATGCTCCAGATAATTTTTATTATTTGTGATACTAATTGCACTTTCTTCTGAGTGTGTTATGATTTTCTGTCTCTGAAATTCAGCTTTATTGTTTTCTGTGTATGCTTTCAGAATTCCTGGTGATATTGATGAAGTCAATGCTTTAAAACTACAGGTGGACCAGTGGAAGATTCCTACCAACCTTAGTGATCCCAATATACCAGGTATGGAGAAATAAGAGAGCAGCAAAACTATTGAAAATGTAGTTGGACACCTCAACTTGTTAGTAGTTTTGAGTTGTAAATACATCTCTCTTATATATCTCCAGTCTTTCAGTTTCTACAAAACTTTTAGTAATTGGTTCTGAAGAGAACAGTTCCTGCCCTAACCCTTTCTGTTCATGATTTGTGTCCTGTGATTGTCAAAAGCCTGAATCAGTGGAGCTCAATATATGGTGTTGTTTTTCATTTTAAAAAGGATAGAATTAGTTACTTTATTTATCTAGGAAGAGGAGGAAAGTGTATTGTGATTACTCAGATCCACTTTGGAACAGTAAGCACCACATATTATTTATACATTCTATGTCCTTAATTTAGTATTAGCACATCAAAGCAGTTTATATTAAATCACAAAGATATAATAAGCACATTAGCAATTCCAAGATAGTATAAGCATAGTACACAAAACAGATAGGTAAAGTTGATAAAACAAACAGCATGCTATAATTGTTGTAAATGTCTCTGGGTTTCTTCTTGTCCTTAAAGCTTCTTTGCTAAAGCTGTGGTACCGGGAGTTGGAAGAGCCTGTCATCCCACAACAATTCTACAAGGAATGTGTCAGCAACTATGAGAATCCTGATGCTGCAGTGGCTGTAGTTGAACTTCTGCCAGAGCTCAATAAAATGGTCTTGTGTTACCTCATCCACTTTTTACAGGTACATAGAGAATGCCTGAGCAGGAATCATTCTAAAAAAAGCATAAAAAATCTCTGTGGTTGTTCTCGTTGTGGGAGGTGTCATTTCACATTGTATTTGCAGATATTATGAAACACCAATTTAAATTTCTTATATCATCATACACAGAGGCAGCCTTCAGTGCAAGTCTGTCTAAAGTGATTCCACTGTCTCTCTGAACATTTTCCTTTGAGTGGCTAGAGAAGCTAAATTACCTCGCCTCTGACCAAACCTTTTATTTTTCCCTCTTTATTTGAGTTGTGTTTTATTTGTTTTACAGATTTTTGCCCAGCCAATCAATGTAGGCAAAACCAAGATGGATGTAAACAACTTGGCTATGGTGATGGCTCCAAACTGCCTGCGATGCCAGTCTGATGACCCCAGAATCATCTTTGAAAATACCCGCAAAGAGATGTCTTTTTTGCGCATGCTGATTGTGCATTTGGACACCAGTTTTATCAAAGGAATTATGTGAAGGATTGTTTTCTGGCAAGATAGTGCAAAAAGAGCAGTTAGTTGGCTTCAGCATTTCCTTTTTGGAGCCTCACATTGTTTCCTCTAGAGTTTCCAAGGTCCCACAGTTCTTTGTGATGCTTTCATTTACTTAATGCTGATAGTAAGGTTGATGAATCTTCAATAACCCCCATATGATTCAAGTCAGTGACCATACTAGAAAGACCCAAAGGTGCTTTTTCAAGCTGCAACTGAACTTTGTTGTTTTTTCCTTTGAAGACGTTTCGTTTCTCAGCTTCAGAGTTGAAGAAGTTTCAGAATTGAAGAACAAGAAACTTCTTGGGTGAGAAACGAAACATCTTCAATGAAAAAAACATGGGACAACCATGACCTGGATGACTGAGAATCTCCATAGACATAGTAGAAAGAGTTTTGAGGCACCCGAGAGCAAAATTTTACATCATGTTCTGGACCTGCAAAAGTTGTTTCCAGCAGTTCTATGTATTCAAAGCCCAAATGTTTTATTGCTTTGCACTTCACTGAGAAATCTTAGGGGAATTCAAAGTGGAATTGTCTATTGGAAAAAAATTGTTTGGAGATACTGGGATTTACTTGTCATCTGGCAATTCAATACTTCACTACACATGCCTCACTTCAGTAACATTGTTACTTCAGGCTGCAAAAGTACATATTCTGCCTGGTTCTGCCATTCAGATTGCTGACTGCTTTCTTCTCAACAGTTTCTCTGGTTTGTTTTCTGCCTTTCGAGGACAATTCTCTTACCAAAAAGAGGTTTTGAAGCAGTAGATGAGCTGTAGTTTATGAGAAAGGATGACTTGCTATGCCTGAGGGTACCTTAGGATTAAAGTTCCAAGCGTCAATATTGTCCAAAAATAAAACTCTTGAATTGAATTTTGTTACAGGGCAAAACAGCAAAAAAGTGAAACTGTATATTTCCCTTATTTTGCCTACAGTGATTTGGGATGAGACTATTTAAGTCTTAAGCCACTTTTAGCTTAGGCTTACTCCTATATTGTTTGGATTAGATGATTCAGACTCAAGAAATCCTTGAATTTCTTTAATTCAAAATCACTGCAAGCTAAGTAACTTATGGTTGGGACTTCAACCTACTGGATTTATCCAGTAGGACAAATTGCAATATTATGGCCTCTTCCTCCTTATTTCAGCATAAACTAAAATGAGGTACTAAGGTGCTATAAAACCTTTTAGAGCAAACATGAATAACTACTTTAAGGCTCCTGCCAATATCAAGATTTTGTGTTCTATTTCCCATTCAGCTTATTCTAAGCAGATAAAAATATCTTTTTAAATATTGGGTTAAAGAAGCTGCAAGATGGAGAGATTTAAGCAAATAGAAGATGCAGAATTGAAGAAAAGTGACTGTACTTCTCTTTATCACTTTCTAAATATTTTCAGTGTGCTGTTAAATGCAGAATGAAATAGAGAAGGCCAAATTATATCTGTCTTGTTTTCTCCCTGACCAGTAGCAATTTCAGAAATATAATTTGAGTTGTGACTATAGTACATAGAGGAAAATATATGTTTCCCAGTTCTCCAGTTAAAATCAAATCCATACTACCTCCCACAACTGCATATTAAATAAAAAAATATTGAGAGCTCCAAATACAAATTTCACACATCATGCATTGTAACTATTAAATGGTATAATGCTGTCTGACTTTGGATTTCATTCTATTCTTGCCTAAACGTCTCTGCCTTCTTCAGAAAGATTGCTGCTCTCTTTGTTCTTTTAGTCCCCAGAACACACACTGATTAGGAGGACTAGTGCTTCAGTTCTGCTTCTTTCTTTTGTGCTTATACTGCAAGCACATCCCTGAATCTAAAGCCTTCAGTGTTCCATTTTGGAAGTGAGTGTAATTTTGTCATCAAACTTCTAGACAGAATAACAGGCTTGAATTTCTTGGAAAGAAAGTGTGAATGGTTAAGGAAATAATCTTATGGAAAAACAAAAATTAACTTTGTTAATTCTTATAAGTTGGTGCTAAGAGCTCTTCCTTTTCCAGTAAGAATGTGATTTATACTAGACGTATTAGTATTTCCAGGTCACTGGTTAGAATTTTTTGAGTTTTTTTTTTAGTTTATTTGGCATTTATAGGCCACCCTTTTCCCTGAGGGGACTCAGGGCGGCTTACAACTCGTAGGAGGGAGTGCAAGAGAAAACACAAATGTGAATAAAATAAAACAAAACAGTAAAACACAACATTCATTCAACATTCGGGCGGGGCGGATTAAAATCTTGTCCCCAGGCCTGACGGGATAGCCAGGTCTTAAGGGCTGTGCGGAAGGTCTGGACGGTGGTGAGGGAGAATGATCTAACTGGGTAAAGAAATATATATTTTCCTTCTATTGCCAGAAATTACGATACTTGTTAGAAGGTTCCCAGATGTTATTAATGGAATTAACATTTATTGTTTCCTTTTTCAGTCAATTCTGCTGTAAAATTAAATCCTTTAAGATGATCTATGTTGTAATGCCAAAGTTTTTGTTGACTCTTTACCTTATAGTATTTTTTGAGATTTAGCTGCTTTTAAGGTAACAAATCTGGAAATATTAATTTCTAGGTTCCAAATAAGGCCATCTTCTGAGAGTCTGTTATGAGTTATATACATCTATGCAGCAGCATATGAATTATCCTGGGGTAAAGGCTATATTCTGGGAGATGGACTGTCACATTTCATTTTGGGGTGGGGGGCAGGGAGAGACTGGACTAAGGCAATATATCACATACCTTTTTCAATTATGTTATTAGGCAGATACAAGTGATGCCCATGGATCTGTATGTAAATGATACTTTAAACCTAACTAAACCCAAAATCCAGGCATCAATTATGATACATTTTCTTGTCTTTCTGAAAGTTTCATTTGATGTAGTTGATTAGCCTGAGATTTCTGAGGAGTTAAGTGCTATTCAAATAGGCTTCTTTACCAGAATTTGCCCACTTCTCTTGATAAAATCAGAAATTGCATCTTAATTCTAAGTAATAAGGATTAGAATCCTATTAATTTGTACTTGGAGAAAGCCCCATTAAACTCTGTGGGATTGACTTCTGAGTAAACATGCATGTGATTGTTAAAATATTGGGTTATATCTAACATAATCCTTTCACCACTGTATACTACTGACAGATCAAATTCAGAATTACTTTTGCAGCTTCTAGGTGTCCTCTAGATCTGTTCTGTAGGGCATGAATAGAAGGAATTGCTGTTTGAAGAGAAATACATTCACACTTAACAGATGTAGTCCATTATGCTTTTGATATTTCTCAGACTTGCCAAAATGAGAATTTCTTGAGCCTATTTCTATGACTATGTAGGAGATTCTGGATTTCCTTAAACTGGTTTTGTTTGTGCTGTAAGTTTTCTATTCTGCATCTTTGTTCAATGGAGAATATTAACCAATATGCAAGGTGTCATATACCTACCCCACTTTTTAAAATTTTGTATTTATTAATTTGTTTTAAAATGTTCTCTGATGCACACGTTTCCAGGTTTAAACACTGTTGACAACTAAAATATGATGGGTAATTGTTACAATTATATCCCCCCAGCATGTCACTATAATCTAATCATAAACTGACTGTTCTATAATAATGTTTTGCCCTACCCTTTCTGGCAGCAAACTAGGTTAAAAAATTACACTGGATTTTTCCTAATATACTTGTAAATGTGAATCTGCAAAATATACTGTCTGTTGTTAAATAATAAACATTTTGGTCAATACACCTGGTACTTTGAAAACAGGTTCATTTATTTGTAGATTTAGATCCATTATCCCCAAATTGGAACCCTTTAGATATGTTGAACTATAACTCCTAGTATTCCCAATCTGCCTTGGCCATAATAGCTTGGAAATCTGTACCATTATCATCCTACACTTCTGAAGGGCAAGAAACATATAAAGTTGTTTTAAGTTCACTACCTGCAAGGTTGGATCCAAGTATATTGGATCAGTCACCTGAAATTTCACCATGAATATTAAGAATACTTCCAGGTTCTTTTTAGTGCTGTATTTGTATTTGTTTGTTTCTACTCATAACAGGAGCTCATTTGCTGCCATATGCAAAGTAACCCTTTTGCAATATAAATATATAGAAATGGTTTTTTTGCTTTCAGCTTCATGTTTTTTATATATTTATATATTTAAGTTTTTACTTAAATATATGAATATATAACTGAAGCTGATCCAGTAACTCTTTTTTCACACTGACAACCATTGCAGCATCCCTATGGTCACATGATCAAAATTCAGACACTTGCCAACTGACTCATCTTTGTGATGGTTTCAGTGTCCTGGGGTATGTGATCACCTTTTGCCACTTTCTGACAAGCAAACTCAATGGGGAAGCCAAATTCATTTAACAACTCTGTTACTAGCTTAACAAGTGCAGTTATTCACTTAACAGTTGTGGAAAGAAAGGACATAAAATGGGGCAAAACTCACTTAACTGTCTCTCTTAGCAACAGAAAAAGTTGGGCTCAACATTTGTTGACATCAAATGTTGTGGTTGTAAGTCTAGGATACCAGTACAAGTCAATTTCATCCCTAGTGGAAGTAAAAGACAAGGCGGTAATAAAATAAAATCTTGCCACTATAGACACAACTTTGTTACTATTTACAATTGCTGATGAAGTTTGTAGCTAAGTGCTGGGGATTTCTGTCCAGAAGCATTTCAGTGTATACAGTCAGATAGGGGATCCTGTTTGCTCATCTGGTTCATCATCCTCATAAGCTTTGCATTGGGATTCTTGTTTTCTAGAGGCAAATCCGTACAAATGACTTTGTAATAGTCTATCCTGGAAATCATTAAGGCAGGTGTGAGAATGTGAAAGGAAGAAAACAGGCTATCATTCATAGATAATGGTCCCTCTCTATCTCTATTTGGCTTACAGATAATATCATGATTTCATGTTTCAATATAATTGTTATAAAAAGAGAGCACACCACAAACATTTATTTGAAAGAATGTGTATATCTGAGGTGAAGAAAATTTTAATAGCCAAAAATTATAGATTGTATAATATTTCACATTTTGCCTATATCCCCATAATTCACAGTTCTCCATTTTGGTGTACTCATTTTGTTACTAATCGCAATCCTATCCACGGAACCACTTTGTTACAAGTATAAATAGATTAATGTGTTGTTTGATAAACTTTTTTCCGCCTTAATTGCTAAAATTATATGGGAAAAACCAGTTTCCTGCAAACTAGAAATTCCATTAAGGAAGAAATTTCAGAAGTCTATTATAATTTTG